GCGTAACAAACGCTATGAAAACTTGAAATACATTGATAAGAAAAAAACATGCGAACATTAAACCTACCTCGCAACTTCAACGAAACGTTATGCCATGGCTTTGATCTCCCCGCTATGGCAAAACTGCACTTCTACACACTCCGCTACACACTACACACGTCTAGCAGCGAAAAATGACTGCATGAAAACACATTACACTCCGTTATGGCGAAGCTAGTCGCTACAGCACCTCTTCTCGAAGAGCACTTCGGTTTTGGGGAGCGGATTATAACATGGTGTATAGTGACGCACTGGTTCGAACTTGCGCTTCTGTGCGCTTCTCAGTAACTTGCCTACCAATGCGCTTCTCGGTAACTGCAAATTCAACGAACTGACGACGTCGTCAACCGTGGTCGAGATGACAGCTGTCACGGCTGCAGGAAAAAACGTACTGCTGCTACAAAGTGTTGAAAGCGTAATATGGGCTCGAAAATAAAACAGATTTGTATCCTTATTTTATCTTGATGGTGCTGCAGTGGCACTACCCAGTGTTATTGCCGGACGTAACTGGTTCTTAGGTTCCACCACGGGATATGCTTATTAAGTATGCCCCAAAGGTGGGTCACTCCCTTTAAGGCAAGCATCAAAACACCATGTTGTATTTGCTCTGTTCGCATGGGCCTGGGACCAGTTCTCCCGCGGCCAATTCCCCACAGGGCGAAAAACCAGGATCAACAAACATCAACGTTTCTAAGCTGTTTGCGCTACAGCGTGCTATGTTGCCAGGATCGGCCAGGCGGCAGCGTGGGAGCTCGCCGTCTATTGTCGGGGGCTGGGTGTTCTCCGCAGCAGACACCCGAGCCTCGCGGGCACGCAGCGTTCGGCTCGCGCCGGCCGCGAGTGTCGCCGCACAAAGTGCCCAGCAGCAAAACATGAGCGAATGAAAAAAAAACATCCAACGCCGCTAAATGAAGGCAACCGATCATGGGGAGGTGATGGACAGGAACAAGCTTGCTTACATGCTTAAATTTGTTAGCAGGTATGAGTTTATTGACAGGAACGCACATGCAAATGAAAAAGGCAAATTAAAACTGTCGTTAAGATAACAGGATGATGATCGGCAGGAAAAAACCGCAATCTGCGAGGGGAAAATGCCGATGAGATAAAGCCAAACAGTGATAGATATCCAAACGTAAATGGCAGGGAAAAAATGGCTGAAAACAAACTCCCGAAATAGATGCAGAAAGACCATTGATCATAGTGGAAATAAGCCTACTGTAAGCTTATTGTCGAAACGCGCCATCTATTGTAAGGCAGTTATTGCGAGCGAGTTGAGCCGAGCTTATCTTAAGGTAAACTAACCGTAACTATTGCAGCTCCGGAATAACAAAATTGTGTAGCTAAAACGGAATGATCCGCAGATGAAAATATTGAATCAAGCACCAGATATGACGAAACAATTTCGGGTATAGCTGTTGGTACACTTTCACATGAAAAAACTATTCTAGACACCAAGATTTCCCTTTTAGTTAAATGTTTCTTAATACGTTATCATTTGGTTGCGTCATTGCATCATGCACAACATTGATTTATATCCAGCTGATGGCCGTTATACCTGGAAAGCGTGCTCAAGAACGCCAGATATGAAAGACTCGACAGTTATATTTTTCTTGGCCTTGATCACCGCATGGCAAATGAAATGATAGGGTTTAAATGACGTTATTATGGCGTCACGGATTCCCGGGGGACTTTAAATAGTTGGCACGAAAAATCCTGCACATCTTCAAGGACGTGTACCTCATAAAAATGGATTTAGATCTTAAGAAAGACAGGGCTGTGAGCTGCACTTTATGGCCTTCAAGGTAGCTTTTCACTTCAAAACGTCGCACAGATGTGGAACACTACCTTTAAGGGCCTGGCCGACCGGGCATGCTTTTCTCCCGCTATTCTCACAGTCACTGACCGTAACACCGCTCAGCTCTCGGCTGCGAGTGCCATTCACCTTTAAGAGTAGTAATTCAATATGTTCAAAGCATTTGTAGGCCAACGGGTTGATCAGGTGTGGTTTTCTAAAACATTGCATTATTACGTAGTTGACTCTTTCCCGCTCAATTAACATTGGGAACACACAAATTGAAAACAACGAAAGGGCTGCAGAACACGGATCTATTCCATGCTCTAAACTGTACGGCTCGTTTCTCGTGTCATCTGGTCTTAGAGATATAGGGTCAACAGCGGCTGACAACGATCAGTCCAATAAGCGCAGTGACAGAATTGTGAATCGTGTAGTGCAACTCGTCATGCGCACTTGACCACAATGCCCGGGTCCCCCACCGGCCCTGAGGCGCTTTAAAGAAACGGTCTGAGAACTCGGCAAAAGAGGTATGGCCAGGCCGAAAACAAGGTGCATGGTTTGGGTGAATGTACAGTCTACAGATTGGTACCCAGACTTAACAACGTCCTGCCCATAGCTGAGACAGATATCGACCGTTAAATTGTCCAAATGCTGATTTTAGACCCGCCCTCGAATATCACACTCTTGGGCTTAAAGTGGGAGATAATGGATAGTGAAACCGCATGGGGTTATAATGCAGCTCGCTGCGGTCAAATTCCATTCTAAAATGTATCATTCGCAAGGCCTTGGTTACAATTGTCGGGTACATAAATTTTCCTTTATTCGTCCATCTCGTTACGTGAAAATTTGAGACCTGACCACGCGCAAAGACACGTGATCGGGTGGAGGTCAGTTTGCCCCACCCGAAGATTCTTTCACGATAACTTTAAACGGCGCGGCATAGCCTCGCCGAAGATTTTCTACCCTAAACTATTGAATAGACATTTTTTGGCACACGAAATTAATATATACCTGTAAGGTTGCTGAATTATAGCGGGTCAAGTTCAGGTCATGGCTGTTAGTGAACGTAATTCCCAGGCAATCGTTAAATATGATGCCACAACGCAGTGTTGAACGTTGTCATACAATGTTGAGATGGAGGCAGTTAACACGCGCCCGGGTGGCCGGCTAGATACCCTTCGCTCGGGTGGGGGTGGGGGGGGGGGGGAGGCAATTTGAATCACAGCTGAGATCTCGGGATTTATGAAAGCTATAGACCCCAAATTTACAGGTTATCTTGCCCTGTAGATGAACTCACTTAAGTCAAAGTTTCAGGTTCCTAGGTTATGACCCTCGGGTAAAAAATAAGTCAAAAAAGGTCAAGTTCCAGATTGGTCTCCAAAGTGCCCCCAGAACCTGGACAACCGTCTCTTAGCCAAAGGTCACATTCTTATTCTAGGTCAGTGACCTTGTTTGACCTTTTGAAGGTTAAGGTGACCAAAACCATACGAGATTGCTTTGAGTTTTGCATTTGACTAAACGACAAAGACTACGCTTGGCAGTATGTTCCTAAAACAAAATGTTGACCTGGGTTATTTTAGGTCCATGACCTATTCTGACATTTAAGAAGTCCGTGGAAGATGTATAATGCGGTTCCTGCTGTCAATAAACTCGAAATGAGCACCAGGAACTATTCCATACAGCAAGCCCTGGAGTAACAAAACAGGTTGGTTTTAACCTCGGTGTGACCTTCATACTTGACCATAAGTCAATGTAATTTGCCCATTCAACTGTTGTGTTGCCTGAGAAAGCATCTCAGAGATGTATGGTTTCGTCTAACACTCCGTTGTTGGATCAGATTGAAGGATTCCCTAGAACTTGCCTTCGCCGAAACCGTGGCCTGACTTTGACCTGCCGTAGGTCAGCGACCTTATGAGATACATCTAAATTTTGTATGTCAAACGATCCTCTATTCAATTGTCTACAGATATACAAAATGTGGCGCGGCTACGCCACGCCGTTCGGAAACCATTTTGGAAAAACCTTCGGGGGGTGGGTTAATTTGATCCCCGCCCGAGTGCGTGTTAGAATTCAGGTTACAACTAACTACATTGACCTTAGGTCAGGTATGCAAATCAGATCAGGGTCAAACCTATGCCTCGTAGTTACTGGAAAACATGCTTTATAAAACAATTTTTTAAAGAATTCCTGTATCACAACAACATCAGCAAACATCTTGTTTTGACACGGTGAAGGTCAGGGAGGTCAATGACCTAAAAGATCTTGATTAATCTTCTGCTTTGAGGGGAATACCGCATAGACCGACTGACTCTATTCACGCATATGGTAGAAGTTTCGTAGTGTTCATGTGCGTGATGATCACATCCGCGCTCGTTGCCAGCTAGACGAACGAACGCAACGAGCGGTGCATTACAGATGTTTGAGATCAGTGATATGTGATAACTACCAGGTACGGAGGCAATTTTAAGTCAAGATAATTAAGTCAGCAGCTTTGTATGCACAACCGTCATGCTACTAGCGGGCATGAAGTAAATTTCATATCACATTATGTTTAAGCCGCCTGAGGGTGCATTTCTGGGATCAGAGCCCACGCTCAGCAGTGTTTGTCGCCTGCGCCATAACCCCGCCATCCGATCACGAAATTTCAGATCAGCGGCAACATTTGTCGGCAAAATTTCAACGTGTGGTACCACTCCGCCCGATCCGTCCTAACCCCAACAAACAACCTATGGCGCGGCTCCTCCTACCGGCCGCACGCCATCCCAGCCAGGGGCAGGTAACGAGCGGCATGGTCCCAGTCTTCCACGAGTGAGTGGGTCAAAAGGAAGGTACTACAACCAGATGAGCTACGGTGACCGAAAAAACAAGTGGTGACCATTAGCACACCGCCAATTTAAGTTTTACCTTCGATCATTGTCCCTATCGAGATTAGGCCTCCGATATTTTGTCATCCTATCATTTCACGTCTCCAATCTTTTCTCTGTCAATACTTGTTCTGCCGATACTTTTCCAGTCACTCAGATCCGCCTTCCGCACTTACCTTGTCGACGCGTGCAAATTTTCGATATTTTGCAGTCAACCATCTGCGTTCGATATTTGGATTGCAGCCGTCCTGCCCGTTCGGCTGTGGGACGGCTGTCGTCACGGGACCACGCCTCGTCCGCAGATGATCTTCGAGCTGAATGGTCACGTGGCACTGCTGCGCGAGCACCTGCTGGCGATGGGCAGCGCCCGAGACTCCCCCGAGCTGCGCGAGCGGATCAGACGCACGCGCATCGACTGCATGACCACCTGCAAGCAGACGGCGTCCCTGCTGCTGCCGCACATTCGCAAGTCAGTGCATCGACGCCGGGCACCATGACCGGACCATGTCGGCTGATGCCTCTGGAGGAGGTCGTGCGGGTGGACGCGGGCTGACGAGCAAAATGGTTTGCAACTCGCACTCTTCTGACCTCCGGTCCTCTTATTCGTTTTAAAACTCAGGCTTCACCGCACTCAAGTCTGCGCGAAGGGATGATGTAATCAGTGTTTAGACGCAATATGTTTTGAATGCGCTACAAATATTCCCTTTTACGAAGTTTGCGATCGGTGGCATAGTTAAGGCAGGGTCTTTGGGCTCATTGGCCTATCTTCTCTGGAAGTGGAGGGCACTCTCCTGCGGCCGAATGCTTCTGTACGTTTTGCCGGTATAAGACACCCATAGTGCTTTTAAAACATAAAGACGTGTCCCTGAGCTATCACAATAAGATCCTAAGCCTAAAATGCCAACCGAATAAAAAACAGGGCACTGAACCACGCAAAGGGACCTCCTTGACTAGAACTACCCTCTATGATCCAACTATGACTATGAGGGCATGTCTATGACTATGGCAAAAGGGTACGTGCGAGAGAACAGCCCACGCGCGTATCCAGCTGCACGGGGGAGTGGCTATACCGCACATGACCAGATTGCATTGATTGAGCATTGAGAATTTCCTTCACTGAAGCTTGATCCTCGCATTGTTGGATCGACGTGGATATGTGGTCAAAGGCAACTCTGGTTATTTTCGTGGAGAGTTGGACTTTGTCCCCGTCTGATGGTGTTTGTCTGACCGGGCAGGGAGATGGAGAGCGGGATCTTGGTGGACAGCCAGTGTTTGGTGCTCCTCTTCAGCTGTACGCAGCTGCTGTACCGCGAGCTGCAGAAGAGCACTCGACTCATCGACACCATGCCCATGGACATGTCGCAATACTACGGTGAGCAAAGTGTTGTGACGTCATCTCTGCCTTGTTTTTCTGGTGCCTGGATATCGGACAGACGTCACGGGCAGCTGATGCTGAGCCGCGGGGAAAATAAATCGGCCGACGGCACCGGCCGGCGCGTCGCTGTAATACACTCGACAGCAGATCCGTGTGTGGATCCTGGCGCGCCGCTATCATAGACACAACAGCAGATCCGTGTGTGGATCCTGGCGCGCCGCTGTAATACACTCGACAGCAGATCCGTGTGTGGATCCTGGCGCGCCGCTGTCATAGACTCGACAGCAGATCTGTGTGTCGATCCTAACGTCACTAAACCTCACATTGGTGGCCGCCCGAGCGACCTTGACATTAACGGGGACACTACGGGCCTTTCTAGTTCTTGTTTTCTGCATCAGAATAACATGAAGTTTAGTCAGCGTCACATGTGCCAGATAAAATGCGCGCACTGAAAATGTCAAAAAGTTGTCTCTCGTGCAATTTCGAGTGGTTGGGCTTTCCTGTGAAGCGGCTGAATCTAGCTGACGACGCCGCCGCCCGCGGGTGGGCAGAGGCGCGCCCCGGGGCAAGAATGCTCATCGAATGCCAACCAGCTCAAACGCGTCGCCTTTGTCGTCAGATCATTGGGAGTTGAACGCCATTAGGCGCGCAATTCAGAGACGATTTTTCAACACGCCAGGAAGAAGTCAAAGGGCTTATTGTGCCGGCTATCATGTGCGTCGTGTGGGTAAAAAGGCATAGAAGGGGGGGGGGGGGAGGGGTAGGCGACAAACTTTCCGTAGGATTTACCTTACCCTTATGGTGATGCGCTAAAGGGCTGGTCTGAAAAGAAAGTTGGCCCGAGCAGGTTTGCGAAGGTTCTAACGTCAGTTGTAAATGTGACGTAAAAACTGCGATCTTCTACCGCTCGCGATATGCGTACTTGGCTCTCACGTTTTACGCTTTGGCTTTGTCATGTAAAATGCTAAGATCCCACCCTAAACTGCGCACTGTTGACATACAATCCATGATTTAAATGAAGCAGGATGGGGTGTAAATCGTGATGCTTTATCTAGCCATACAGTTTCAACAGCGGAAAGCAATGCCGGGCTGCGGTCGGCCCGCGCGCCTGGCTGGCTGGCGTGCCCGGTTCAGTGTCGGCCGCCTGGCTGGCTGGCGTGTCCGGTTCGGTCTCGGCCGGCTGGCTGGCTTGAGCGGTTCAGTCTCGACCGCCTTGGCTGGCTGGCGTGAACGGTTCAGTGTCGACCAGCTGGCTGGCATGATCGGTTCAGTCTCGACCGCCTTGGCTGGCTGGCGTGAGCGGTTCAGTATCGGCCGGCTGGCTGGCGTGATCGACTCGGTCTCGACCGCCTTGACTGGCTGGCGTGAGCGGTTCAGCGTCGGCCACCTGCCTGACTGGCGTGACCGGTTTGGTCTCGGCCACCTAGCTGGCGTGGGCGAATCAGCGTCGGCCTGCTGGCTGGCGTGACCGGTTCGGTCTCGGCCGCCTGGCTGACTGGCGTGAGCGGTTCAGTGTCGGCCGGCTGGCTGGCGTGAGCGGTTCAGTGTCGGCCGCCTGGCTGACTGGCGTGAGCGGTTCAGTGTCGGCCGCCTGCCTGGCTGGCGTGAGCGGTTCAGTGTCGGACGGTTGGCTGGCGTGAGCGGTTCAGTGTCGGACGGTTGGCTGGCTGGCGTAAGAGGTTCTGTCTCGGTCGTCTGACTGGCTGAAATGAACGGTTCAGTGTCGGCCGGCTGGCTGGCGTGACCGGCTCTGTCTCGGCCGCCTGGCTGGCTGGCGTGAGCGGTTCAGTGTCGGCCGGCGACACCCGGATGATACCGACAGTGTGGACGCTTTGCAGCCTTGTTAGCGCGGCACTGGACGCTCCGAATGCTTGTTAAGACAAAAATAGGCATTCGGCGCTCAGTTCTTAGGCACCATAAGTTGATATCTTGAAGATGACTGACTTTCTGCATGCAAGTAGATACTGGTTCAATGACGTCATTAATCATAGCTTGCTACATATTTTGAGAAAACTCGAACTTTGAAAGCCGTGCTCTCTGTCACGGTTTTACCAGGTTTAGTAACATCAATGTTCAAAAACCTAATGCGTCAGAAGACAGAAAGGCATTGAATCTGTGAAGACACAGCCAATAGATAAAACATACCGAACTAATTAATTGTTAAAGTTGCCAGATCCTAGCGCCCGATACAAGGTACCATTCTCTAGGTTGCACGAGACAGACGGCTTGGCCGAAAGGTCACGATCACCCGGCGGGATGTGGGCCTGCTGACCGGGGAGCGGCTATAACATCTTAAGAGAGGAACCTCTCTCGCTTTCCTGTGTTTACAAAGAGGAGAAGGTCGGTTTCGGAGAACCCGCGGCAATGCGATGGTCGTTACATTCCATGGCTTGTTTTCATGTCGTGAAAGGCTTTATCCCGTAGGGCATGAAGCCGGCGTACTTTTATTGCAACGCAATATTAAACGTCTGGTTCGGATCGAGTTCAGAAATTTCGGGCTGATTTACCTTGAATTATTTTTGACTGGAGCACCTCACCGGCACAACTCCTTTGCGTTAATACGATTTGGCGCCCATCAGGACCAAAAGCAGGACCAAACATCCAGCTAAGCAGGTGGCAGGAAATTAAGACCGGAATCTGGTGCCAATCATCCATCGTTGATAGGTATATATATATATATATATATATATATATATATATATATATATATATTTAAACATGCAGCGAATATTTATAAGTGAAAGGTGATGCATCGGCGCCGTTTAGCAAGAACAAGAAGTTGTGTACCACTGCAACGTGCAAGGTTCTTCAATGCCATATAACTGACTGCAGCCGTCGCTTCTTTACAATCCATTTAACATGTCTTCCATTTCGATTCCAGAAAACCGTCCAGGACCCTCGAGTTCCGGCCTCGGCAACGTCATATCTCAAATAATTCTGCACGTGCCGATCACGCCCAATTTCCAACGTGAAGAACTAATTAGCATAGCAAAGGATAGCCGGGAGATCGATCAGCTGCTCTCGGACATGCAGGAGTTTATGCCAAAGGCGGAATCAGGTGAGCGCTCGCGCAAATCCAACAGAATTGCATGCCTAGTGTCTAGTCCGGTTAGTCAGCAGTCACGTCAAAGTGTGCATCACTCCTATCGAGTCGGCCTAATCACATTATCCCCAAAAGCAAGTGCGTCGCAAGCCCAGGTTTGGTTTCGAGTGACCTGTATTATTAAGGAAAAACATCTGCTTTGTTTATATCAGCAGCTCGTCTCTGACGCGTCAAATACGCCTGGGCATATATGCACTAGGCCCAGACAGGGAGTTCAGGTTTAAGGCGGCGTGCCGTGACACTGCTGCGGCGGATGCCATCACCACTGTCACGCAGGACTTAAATGTCACGTCATAACGGGCACTTGGACCGACCGACCTCGCAGAGGGGTCATTGGAGACGGACCCCTGGTGACCCGGGTCCCACACACGCACGTGAGTTATGAGTCTCGCGAGGACAGGTCGTGAAGCCGCCGGACGCCCTCAGCGGTGCGGTGGTACGAAGGGGACCCTCCACTTTTGACCACTTTTGAGCCCGGAGGCCCGCAATGCGCGGGCTTAAAGAGCCCGCGGGGCTGTCAGGGCGTATTGCTGGCCACATTGCGGGCGTTGGCGTGTATTTTTCGTATAAAAGTCTCACAGTTGCGCTTACTTAACCACAAATTTATACCTAATTAACCAGCAATAGTTGGTCACAAGTGCTGGTGAAGAAATAAGTTATATGTTTTCACAAAAACTACAGAATAAAGAAGTTACTTTTCATTAGGGTTTTTCCAATTACGTAATGCATGGCATTTCATTGTCAACTATATGTCATGGATCGTCAACAGATAATCCGTGATATGCTGTAGCTTCAGGAGTATACTAACATAGCTCAATAATTGCCCAGCCTACAATTAGGTACAATGTATTAAACGCTACGTTTTTAGAGGACGAAAGCTAAACATAAGCACAAGAACCAATCTGAAATAATTCGACACCAATGATAGGCTCCACCATGGGTGCAGTTTCCTATTCACGTAATGGGCTGCAGGTCCAGGCCCTCACAAGAAAACAAAGTTAGCTATGGCTCTGCTCAGCCCACCCCAAACATGTTTTACTAACTACACCGCTGGATTTTACAGAGCATTCGTCACATAAATCACATGTCACAGATAACACAAACGCATGCAAATACCAAATGTTTAGTAGGCACATTTGATGAATGCAATTACACAGGGCATGCTAAAACAGCAAATAACACCTGGGTTGAATTAAAACATGGCCCTGCATTGGAATTACACACATTTCTGTGAAATCCATAACAGCGTATCAATTCAGTCTTCTGCAGCTCAGACCTCGTCGGCAAGTTATGAATTTTTATACAAAAAAGTTTTCTACTTTAGACAAACACTGATTTGGTGTTTTGTCAGAAAGAAAAATGCAGGAAAACATCAACCACCAAACCCCTCGCAATCGCGGCAAAGTTTCAAGGCAAACGCACCGGAGGGCGAAATCGGCCATGAGCCTTGGTAGATGTTGACAGATGTCATCAAATCTTCAAAGAGCTTGGATGCATGTAATGATTGACATACAAAGCCACCAAAGAGCGGTAACCGCCATGCCCAGCGCGTTGGGCGGAGTGCGCTCGCCAGATTGCGATATGAGATAACTTGGAGATATGCGTCCAAAGATGGACTTTACGTGACGTGAAGAGCTCGTATTGGCTCGTCACGTTTGAATGGGTCATCAACTGTCCATCGGCAAGGCATGAGGTCATTTATTTAGTTCTGGTGCAGTCAGGTTTTACCATTCACTATGCTTATGTTCTGCGTCGTTCGTCTACGCACATGTGACGTGCAAATGTCGAGCCTGTCCGGGACTGCGTGTCCACCCGGACTTAAAGCATTTGGAGTCTAAATCCAGAATTAGAGGAACGGCTTTGCTGTCAAACTCTAAGAAGCCTCATTATTGGACATTGAAAAACGTAATCAGCCAACATTCAGGTACCTGCTGGTAGGAGAGGTTGTTATTGTGGCGCCTGTTGACCATGGATAATCCTGCTCTTGATATCACTTCCGTCACATGTATTTATGTGTCAGGCTATCTATTTTTCAGGGCATATGCGAATGATTCCTTGTAAAATTGGCGGCCTGGCTGATTTATTCATATGACTGCAGATGAATGTTAATTATTCTTGGTTTCTGAATTATGATACTGGTTTTAGTTGATTGACTTATTTTCTTTTTAGATACGAAATGGTGGCTCCTTTTGAAGAGCCTTATGAAGAACGCAAATATTTTTTCCTTGGGAAAGAGGATTGTGTACCTGAGGCTAAGGGATTTTGCATGCGTTGGTCCCTGAACAGGCTCTTCAAAATGAACCATAGTTCTAGATCTTGAAATGAATCAAATGAAACAACTAAACTCGGTTAATAAAAGGTAGCTGAAGAAATTCAGGTTTGTATATTCGTGGATTCTTGTGGCTATCCGAATACAATAATAATAAGGGTAAGTATGTGTACCTGCAACGAAAAATTAGGTTGGCGGATCCATGTGAGCTTTTTTGGTAGGCTTGCCTGACGAGTGCGGGTTTTCAAGTTTGGGAGCGGGGCACAGGTATTTCAAATATCCAAAAGTGGCAGCGCTAATACGAAGGCTGCAGGCCGGCGCCACACGCCCGGTGCTCGTTTGAGGCTTGTGCTAATGCGTCCAGATTGCAGATTACATGGCACAACATCACGTGTCGAGGCTGCCTCATGACGAGGCGCATGCGGCAACCTCTGTGGTGATGAACAGTCGGTCGGATATGACCTCGTGAATGGTGCCTCAGTGCACGTCCGGGTGGCAGGCGCACGTGGTTGCGTACCGCGCAGTCCTGGAGTTGGGACATGCAAGGTGCTGACGATGGTGGGTTTGCGTGTCACACGTAGGCGAGATAATCCCATGTTCGGTCTATTACGGTCGCCAATCTATCTTTGGCGCTGAACTATCCTTTTTCTGCTCGGGGGCAGCAAGCCCAGAGCAAGCGAGATTAAGCTCGCACATTATCTCGGACACAAATAGCACCAACGAATTATGCTCCGCCAGAGACAAGGCTTGCGTGTAACGTGGTCTCCATTATAGCAGTACTAGGAATATCTTTGGCTGTAATGACAGATAATCTGTTTGCCAAACTAGTTTGCCACCTGAGCTTTGAAGATCGGATGATTACCTGAGTGAGAGTTGGCGCCTGAGGCGGTGGCAAACTCGGCGTCATCAAACGTGCTCTGGCCACAGCTGTAGCAATTGTCGTAATAGACCGTGCAAACATTCTGGGCAAACAACTGCAAGTAGCTGATCGTCTGTATGAAATTACCTGTCACGGTGTGGTGTCAGTAACGTTACGAGTCTAGTTGAGCACGCGTCCGGAGGCCATCTGGTGGTGGGCTCGAGTCGCCGGGTCAAGGCGGCAGGCGGATGACCAGGGCGGCATCATGTCATGTGCTATCTCACCGAGCTCCTCCACAGATCTGCGGCTGTCACTGAGCCCCGTGACAGGCACATCAAACCCGGAGTCATCTGGCGATAAACACTAAAAAATCACAAACACCTCCGTGCTGGCTCTGACGTCGCTCCGGCGCCCCGACCAAAGCCGCAGGCACGCTGGGCAGACGGTAGCAGGAGCTGGAGACGCGCTCTCACGCGACACACACACACCGTCGCGACGCCATCACCTCGTTTGTCACCGGGTCATAGGAAGCGCAGAGGGGATGAGCAGGGGGAAAACAGCTGTTAATTAAATACGTGTTCAAGCATTACTGGCGATATCTTTCTGCTTAATCTGGTTTGTTTACTTCGCCTAGAATCTTCCCTGTACGTTGCTATAATTCTGCAAAACTGTGGCCTTACCATGGACACCGCGTGAGACGAGTGCAGCTTGCGGCACTTTCGTCATGACAGTGTTTTGCATTACACCGCCTGTAACATAAAGTGACAACCTAAAAAATGCAAATTTTGGGGCGTCAGCCCAACCACTTAACGCCAACGTGGCAAGGCAGCCAGCTGTGCGCACTTCCTGTTGCTGGAATTCACGATATGAGGCCGTAAGTTTTGCTGGCGCTCATCCCTGTCTTATTTCGACGCCTCCCTGTCCGCCCTCCCCCCCCCCCCCCCACACCCGTCCCTTGGTGGCCGGGCGCAGTCTCTGGTTCATTTCGTGGCAGCCGTCATCGGCACATGCTGCCGGCGCTTCGCCGACTGACGGGCTCGTGAGCGCTAGCCCCCCCCCCTTCCTCCCCCCCTCTCAGGCGGACCTGTCCCGCACGGGAGGCGCACGGCGCGCCGGCCAAGCTCACTGTGCAACAGCCGGCACGCCTCCGGACGGCGCTATTGGCTATTGATTCATTGATATGAGTGCGCTCAGGCAGAACTCAGCCCCAGTGTGGGCCGGGAGTTTATGACGACTTTCTTTCCCCGGGGCTCGCGCAATACCGCTACGCGGGAATATCATCGCATGCCATAGGTATCCTTTTGGTACCGTTATTGGGGTAAATCTTCTGTTTCTGGCGTTGTGTCTGTGATGTATATAGGAAAAGCGCATATAATTGTCATCTGTGGGTGTTGCTGCAGTCACTGTAGCGGCAGTTCTGTCCTTGAGCTTCACCAAGTTTCGATGCATTGCATGACATACAAAAATGGTATGAAGTAAACCACCGCGTCAGGCGCGCCACTTAAGATATTTTCCGAGGAGCCTGAGCCCCCCCCCCCCCCCCCACACACACATACCAATGCTGACACGAGCCCACGCCCAATAGTCCTCTGAGCAAAGAAGGAATACTAGGCCAAATAATACAGAGCATTTATCTTGACTTTTGGCATGCTAGGTAGTGAGTACCTCAACAAACTACCATTAGTATCGTGGTAATTTTGTACCAAACAGTATCCTGTGAGTACCTAATGCTTTTTTCATGCTCACTCCTTCATATGTTAAGCCAGTCTGCGAATGTCTTTTTTTCAAATGCCAGTGCCTGGATTGGTACAAGGAAAAACTGACTGCAATATACGGGAGCTTTTAAAAGTTCATGGTGACCCAGAAAAATGTTAATACATGTTTTACCTTACAGTAACAAGTGCATTTGTTGCATAATCGTGGCTGTGTTGGTTATATAACACAATCAGCGACAGCGTTATCATCAATGATCCTCACTAAGATTTACTAATTTTTTTCTTTCGTGAATTACACCCCATTCCAAGCTATTCACAGAAGAGCAACTCCATTAGCTTGAAATGGGAAGTCATTCCTTCGCAGGAGAACAATGTTGGATCTACAAAATTTTATTTCTTAATTCTAACATCAAGAAAACAAATTCGAAGGGCCGAAATCCGAGGAGAAACCACGCTTTGGGGGCAGGTTAGGCCAACCTTTTTGGCTTCCCTCAAACCGATTTTAGAAAGTGACACTCGTGCACCGGGTTACAGCTGATACCATGGTAGAGACGACGAGGGCGCCACGCAGAGGCCTTTTGTTATCGTCGAGGCGGCCATTGCCTCAATAGAGACAGCTGACGTCATCACCAAGAACGGCTGACACTACGAACTGACAACAGGAATCAATGGGGCTCTGCGGGCGTTAAAACGGCACCCTTCCATCGCCACTGATTACACTCCTGTTTTGAGTTGCTACGTCGTTAACTAACTCGACATCGGGTGTGAGGTCGTTGCTGGTGTGACTCAGAGCCTGCCAGTAGTAATGTCGACGTCCCCTGGGGTGGCATAACCGTCCCCGCCGCAGAAAACTACCTGCCGCGAACCAGGACCCTTCAGGCCGTGAGCGCGGCCCCTTCAGGCCATGAGCCCGGCCTCTGCAGGCCGTGAGCCCGGCCCCTTCAGGCCGTGAGCCCGGCCTCTCCAGACTATGAGCCCGCCCCTTCAGGCCATGAGCTCGGCCTCTCCAGGCCGTGAGCCCGGCCTCTCCAGGCTATGAGCCCGGCCCCTTCAGGCCATGAACCCGGCCTCTCCAGGCCGTGAGCCCGGCCCCTTCAGGCCATGAACCCGGCCTCTCCAGGCCGTGAGCCCGGCCTCTCCAGGCTATGAGCCCGCCCCTTCAGGCCATGAGCTCGGCCTCTCCAGGCCGTGAGCCCGGCCCTTCAGGCCGTGAGCCCGGCCTCCCCTGGTCGTGAGTCCGGCCTCTCCAGGCTATGAGCCCGGCCTCCCTTGGCCGTGCCTGCTCTGACCCCCATGACCTGTTGCAGCGCGCGACACCATGTGGGCGGTGGAGGGTTCGCTGCTGCCGGGCAAGCCTCGCTGGCGGCGCGAGCACAAGGTGGCCGGCTCGTCGTGCTGTTGCGCCGGCGTCAGCTCGTTCTTGTGAGGACGAGCGCCCGAGCCGGCCGCGCCGCGCCGCTCGTCCGTCCGCCGCTGATCGATCGACGCCTATCAGCCGGCGAGCGGCCGTCTCGGCGTGGGGGTGCGCCTCGCTCCGGAGCGGCCGCCGCCAGCCCGGCGCCGCGCTGTCTGGACCGCGCGCCGCGCTGTCTGGCCCCAGCGCCCGTCTGCCACTCAGGGCGCCCGGCCAGCGGCCGCGGACGCCACTCCGCCACAGCACGCAACACCGCACGGTCTGACCGGATACCCAGCCGTCTGACCCTGGCGCTTCGTTGACTACCACCAACGCACCCCGACTGCTCCGAGCCCACGACTGATCACTCCGACACCCAGGCGTGAGCTGTGTCGCGCCGACGCTTGTCCTGAGGCGCGGGTGTCTGTCTCGGCGGCCGACCGCCGCCTGCGACTGGTGTGGGCTGGGCTAGCCGTGACGCCCGGCTCGCTGCCCACGCCGTCTGTCGGGGCGGCAGTGAGCGCGGACCGGCTCTGCCTGACCAGGAACCGTGCTGCTGTCCGAGCCTGAGGCTGAATCGAGAGCTCGTGACGCGACGGGACCCTCCGAGTGTTCCCCGGATCCCGCTGCACAGGCTCGGCCACCGGCGGAGACGAGGGCATGCGAGTACGTCGTCAGCACCGTGCCACGAGATGGCGCAGTTCACGCGGTGTTGCAGTTGCACCTGTTGTTGTGAGGGTGGTCTGGTCTGTAGGCATACAGCAATATACGAGCACCAATGCCACTGCTGTGGGTATGTACGCGTGCGAACGCGTGTGTGAGGGCTGCTTCTTTAGCAATCATAGGGCAACGAGGGGTTGCGTCCCTTGTTGAAGTCCCACGGCTGCGCCGTTTATTGTTCCAGGCTCGCCGCTAACCGCCGCCCACCTGGGGGCTGAAATTTAGGCCCCATTTCCACGCTGAATCTGCGACCCTCCATTCAGAGCCGGCATCAAAGTTGACTCGAGCTCCACTTTCGAATGGCATGTTTCCGAGAACGGGTTGTTAAAAAGCGCACGTGATGAGACCAACCGCACGAAGACCATCTCGGGCGCCGGGATCGTCCTGAGCATCATGTCTGAAAACTTCGGCCGTCTTGCATGGCTGACTCCTGCACGACATCGGCTGGTGACATTGAACAGGACTGCCGCGACAACCGGCTCTGGGCGCCTCGGCCACTCCAACGACTGAATTAATCTGAATTTGATATATCGAGTGCTTTGGTCACCCGAGGCGCGCGACAGTTCCACATTATCTTCAGCATCCAAAATTTCGCAGGGATTTTTCCGCCTTTCATTCCGTTTGGCATGCCAAGAACAGGATAGTAAGAGCATAAACAGCGAGCCAACATGACCACAACTTAGGCAGATTAGTTCGTCTCGCATTTTTCATGTACGGATGCATGTGCCGCGATAGCAGCCGCCCCCTGCTATCAAGATTATTCCGACCCTAGGTTTGATTCGGAATCAACTGAGCGAGTCTACATTCGCTTCGGCCAATGACTGTGAGCCGTGTCACTTGCATACTCCGAGCCCGGACTTCATTCATAGTCCGGCTGCAGGGCAGCTTCCGTCTGCCAATCGCCAGCACACGTAGGGTACGGAGCGGATACTTGTTAATAATTTTGTCTTTGAAAATGAGCGCTCAGACCCCGTCATGACTAGCATATGGGCTTGAGAACCAGCCCTCAAATACCAAAGAGGCATGCGGCCCGCGCACGGCAAGTGAGGGAAGCTCCGAACGGAGGTTTCCACGTTAAGCTTTCGCCTGATTATACGGACATTTGGAAAAAAAACGGTGTGGTCTAGCGACGGGAATCTTAGCAGGTGCTATTCCTAGGCTACCACCAAAAACTTCAGAGCGCACCCCAGCGTACACATGGCAGCGACACAGCACAGTAGAACGCCAAGAGGCCAGTGCACGCTAAACGAGCTGATATACCTAGTGAATTTCTGAGGTGAACTACCGAACCAAGTTGATTTGTCTCCGCAGGGCCATTTTCCTCGTGAGAGCACGCGCACTGTGATTCAAGGCCCTACAGTTGCACCGCTCCTGCCCTGACCAGTGCCGACCGGGGAGGGGAGGGGAGGGGCAACCGAGCTCCGCCGGTCCAGTGGTGGTGGTGACTTGGTGTTTAAGTGCGCGTCGGCATCGGGGCCACTTTGCGCCCACTCGATGACGGTTATCTACCTCTGCGACGGCGCGATAAGTGTGTTGTCAACTAATAACAGGCAGCATCACTGGCATACTTACACTGAGGGGTGAGTGAAAGTAATGTCAGTCAATGTGTGCTAAAAATGCGAGTATATCTCCAAGTTCACCACATGCGTCTCGGCCGAGTAACCGATAGGGGCGCTGTAGGAAAAAAATCGTCGCCTTTCCGTCTCAAGGCGCCGGCATGAGACGAGGACATGTTCTACAGATAACCGGTCCCCGCATCTGTCACACCGTGGCACATCCTCACGCGTCAAGTAAAACGGGTGTGTTGCATATGTATGACCCAACCGAGGACTACAACGAGCGACTTCTTGGAAGCGGCCTCGGCGATGGGAAGATTCCCAATCACCCAGTTGGGGCTTGATTTCTCTGAAAACGTGAGGATGTTGGTCGAATTTGTTCTGCCACATATTGCGGACGCATTTGGAAATGAACGACTTCGGATCTCGAGCGGGTACATAAATTGGTATGGTTTCCTCTCACACGCCGCGGCTTTAGCTGCGGTGTCTGCTTTCTCATCTCCCTTTATCCCTATGTGGCTGGGGATCCACATAAATGTGATACGGGAGGAAATATTACCCAACCATTTTAGTTTCTCCCAAATTGAGCGGATCAGAAATGAGAGGGCACGCGACATCGCCGTCGGATCTAATGATAAAGTGCACTAAGTGAGTCGGTCAAAATGACTGCATCCCTTTCAGGGCGACAAGTAAGGTACTGAAGCGCTGCTACAACAACAAACAGATCTGAGGAAAAAAACTGACATTTGAGCCGGGAGGCAGAGACCTGCGGTGTGATCACCGCAAACAAATGCTTAACCCGTTCTTGCTGAGCCCTTGGACCTATCGGTAAATATTTGTAATGAATTCACGTATTGTGAGATTCATTCCAACGAACAGCTGAGGAACTCTCGTGGTGAAGTGTCATTTTTATGAGGCCCCCCCGGTCACTGGCGCCAACCGGGGCGGTACCCGGGGCCACCTCCGGTGAACGGCGCCGACCAGGGCGGTACCAGAGTCCCGCCAGGCCACCGCCGCTTGGCGGTGACGACCGGGGCGACACCCGAGCCCCGCTGGGCCACCGCCGCTTGGCGGTGACGACTGAGGTGACACCCGAGCCCCGCTGGGCCACCGCCGCTTGGCGGTGACGACCGGGGCGACACCCGAGCCCCGCTGGGCCACCGCCGCTGGGCGGTGACGACAGGGGCGACACCCGAGCCCCGCTGGGTTACCGCCGCTTGGCGGTGACGACCGGGGCGACACCCGAGCCCCGCTGGGCCACCGCCGGTGCCCGTCCGGGTCGGGCAATCACAAAGTGCTGACAACCGTATACCCTGCACGCTTCCGCTCTGCTGCGCCGCCTTATTAGCTGCGATCTTCTTAGCGCATTGTCTACCGGCGGCGGATCCGGGCGGCGATCGACCGGTGGCCGGAGCCGCGTTTGGGCCGTGTCAACACGGGGGCGGCGCCGCCGGCCGGCCGCCCCACCGACCGCGCATATCCGGAGCACGGCAAAAACCCGGTCGTCGACAGACGAGCCGTAAACAGCAGGGCTTGGCGCTGATCGCCGGCGCGGAAAAACGAGCAACAGCGGTGCGGTGCTGTGTATGCCCGTTGGGGCAGCGTCGGTAATCTTAGACGCTGCGGTGGGGCAAGCGGTTGACGTCTGCGTCACTGGTGGCAACATTGACTAGCAGGTCGGCGCCCTTCGCATAGCCTGTGCCAGGATGGCTGGAGAGGTCGTAAAACAGTCATTGTGAGGGACGGGCTGTTGTAAGGCACAGCTTAGGGATTATTATCTATGATTTATTCCTATTTGTTCGGCAGCAATGACGCATGAACCTAAAGGATGATACATATACAAAACCGTCAAACATCGTTTACGACCTCGCAATGGCGTTCTGAGCGCCGCAGGGCGTTATCATACACGTTTTAAAAAGCACTGTGGCGTGATGCATGCGACTACGACCGCATGGACACGGCACAGAACCATTTTCGACGAGACGGAAAACATCGGTTGGGGAGGGTCAAGAGGAAGCATAATCAAGGGACAAGTCCCTTGCGTGTCCCTTGCGGGCACACGCCATAAACACATACGGAAAACGCAAGGGGGTTCGACGCCAACGGTGTATTGTCGGAGCAGTGTAAATGCTTCACAAGTCATTGCCAGAGGCATGCCAGCATGATACGGCGCAGGTAGCAGATGGGCATTAACACAGCGCACCAATCACAGCACCTGTCCACGCCTGTCTAATATCAACGCAAAGTGACATACCAAGTTATCTGCAGTACAAACGACTTCTGAGCGTTGTCATCAAACCCTCCCCAGCGCACTGTGAGATTCATTGCGGCGCCATCAGGCACAGCGCCGACACCGCCATCCGGGGTGTAAAGGGCGATTTAGATCGTCGAAAATGCGGTCATCGGTCTCTCGCCTTTCGACGTCGGCGTCAGTATGACGCTCTCAGAAACCAGTCAGCTCACCGCTGCCGTTGACGCCAGTTTGGCCGCGGGCTCGAGTGGGCAGCCCGACCGCTCGCGTCCCTGTTGCTCCCCCCCCCCCCCCCCAAGGAAAGGCGCCGGAGGCAGCGCGAGCGGTCCCACCGGGCAGCAACGCCACCGCCAGTCCCTGCCGACGACAAACTTGGTCCACACGCATCCGCCCGTCAGCGGCGAGCCGACAATTACAGGCTCCGGCGGCGGCGGCGGTGGCGGGCGGGGCCACCCCGCGGCGCCACCAGGCCTAGGTAAGTAGGGGTCCGTCGTGGCCGCGAGCCGCGTGAGTTGTCGGAGGCGCAGTGCTCTCTTCATAATGGGCTGCGCCTGCCAGTGGATGTACACCTTGTCGTTAACTGTTCGGACGTTATAGCAAGGAAATCGCACTAGCCCTTGCATTCTGTTTGTGTCCGTTCCCACCCGTCTCCGACAGTGCTAAGTAAAATTGGCCCGTCCTTACGCGATGGAAATCGAAATGAAAGCCTCAACCTCCGACGACATCAGCGGCCGTCGGTGGTCAGAACATCACATATCATCACCAGACTCCACATCACTGTGATCACACGTATAATGCCATCGATACAAAAATAGATGGCGGCGGTGGGCCGGGTGCCGGCCTGCGCTCCGCCCGGCCCGCCGGCCGCTAAGTCCGCGAGTCGAACACCACCAGATGGTCCTCGTCCGTGTCGCTCAGCTCATCCATGTGGTCCTCGTTCTGGTAGTCGGTGAGCGCCAGATGCTCGTCGCCATCGGCCAGCTCCAGCACTGGGGTGTGACGCCGTCCACTCAGCACACGACACTGAGGGCCAGAGGGGTCAGGTCAGGTCAGGTCAAGTCGGAGGTAAGCTCCAGCACCGGGGTGTGTTGCCACCCGCTCAGCACGCCGCACCGTGAGATAGAGGGATATAGGCAGACCGGTCGGCGACTGAAGAAGCCGACGCACACGCACACGCACAAGCACACACCCACACCTACACCCACCCACACACGCGCGCGCGCGCGCGGCTGTGGTCAGCACGAACGCGTCCAGTCATTCAGCCGACTGCTCGGTCCAGCAGCCCCTGCCGACCCATGGCCGGCGACCGCAACCACCGGGAGGGGAGGGGAGGGGGAGGAGAGGGAGGGGGGGGGGGGGGGTGCCATTCACAGGCGGCGGCCGGCCGGGTTTCCCGGATGAGCCACGTACTCCCCTGTGACTTCATACGGATCTTCAGAGAGCGGGCCGCGGCGGGTCAACGGCGCGTCGACTGCGGCATGTTTGAGGCCAGGGGGAGGCGGAAGGAAGAAACCCAAACCTGCCGTCCGCACTAAACCACTGATGCCTCAACGTGGCGAAGTTTTCAAATCCGGAAGGGAGTGGCTGCAACTAAACTTAGGGCACGCAATCAACAAATGGCCAGGAAAGCGCTCAGTACGTAAAAATATCCGGCATTTAATATTACATAAAATCTGGTGGGCGACCTACCAGCCGTGACAACAGATCGCAATATCACGTTCATTGACGAACCAGAGCACCTCGCACCTCGGGTGATCCGCGGTGGGCGCTGCGCGTGGTGGGCTGCCGCGGCAGGCCCTTCGGTCTCGCTCGGGTCAGGGGACAGATTCGCCAGCGGCGGAGGGCCTCATCGAGGTCAGGCCAGTACAAGCACGACGTGCTCGAGAACACAGGAACTACGAAGGCCGAAGGTTACAGAACCGGCAATGATGGCGCAAACAACAGCCGCCCGGCAGCATCCAAAAACGCGGCCATGGGGCTGCATTCGCGTAACATGAAAAACATCAATGTACGACTAACGCGAAAAATAATACAACTATCAGGCGGGAGTACAATACCACAACCGTCGCGCCACCTGCCCCATGACGAGTTCCTTCCGTAAGGGGACGTTACAGAGGCGAGGACGTTACAGAGGCGAGGACGTTCAGCGACGTTTCTCCGATGTTTCCATGTCACCCAGCTAATTGGTCAGCACCGACGTAAATATCATCCAAAAGCCAAATAAAAGCAAAGGAAGAAGCCAGAGAAAAACGACAAAACATACTGCGTCCAAATACATACAGGATGAGAGCTGTCAACGTAAAACGTTCGCATATCCTAAGGGACGCTCCAAAGTCCCTTCCCTAACGAAACGCGAACACAAGCGCACATGCTCGCGCGCGCGCACGCGCATGTGTATTTGTGTTCGCGCACACACACACGCACGCACGCACACACACCCGAACCCGCCCGCCCGCAGGCACATACGCACGCACGCACGCTCATCCGCACCCGCACCAATATACATATAGCATTGTTGTGAAGACACTAAGAAGACTCGGGGCATCCCTCCCATAACCGCCGACAAATGCGCCTTGAGACGCACAAGACTAAATCACATTCAGCCATGACCCAAACGCAGCGATGCGATACTGGACACCACTGCGTCCCGGGTAGCTGGATCACCGCCGCCACCGTAAAACCACGCGCAGCGCGTTCGTGATAGTCGGCTAACCAGAAGCCGCGTGACCACCTGGGCGTAAGGGACAGCTGTGCCACAAACAGACACGCTGCCTTTCACTCTCCGGTCCACGTCCCGGCTGGGTATGTCGGCGCAAATCCCCGGCCAATGCCACGCCGGCAGTACTGCCTGCACCGCCGCCAGCTGGGAGGTCTCGCCGGCAGTATTGACTGCACTGCCGCCAGCTGGGCCACGCCGGCAGTACTGACTGCACCGCCGCCAGCTGGGAGGTCTCGCCGGCAGCGCTGACTGCACTGCCGCCAGCTGGGAGGTCTCGCCGGCAGTACTGACTACACTGCCGCCAGCTGGGAGGTCTCACCGGCAGCACTGACTGCACCGCCGCGAGCTGGGAGGCCTCGCCGCGACGGCGGCCGCGTCGGCGCACCTCGCGGTCACGAGGTGCGGTCGGAACAAAACCACGAGGTGCAGTCGGACGGGGCAACTAGATGCAGTCCGATAACACGACGAGGTGCGGTCTGGCAAGACGGCGAGGTGCAGTCTGACGCGGATTACGAGGTGCTGTCGGACAGGGGTCACGAGGTGCACCCAGACCGGGCTCACAGTCTTGTGACCTGACCGGGCGGTGAGATGCAGTCCGATAACACGGTGAGGTGCAATCTGACCCGGCGGCGAGGGGCAGTCTGACCGGGTGACGATACACAGTCTGACTGACGGCAATATGCAGTCTGGTCGGGTGGCGACATGCAGTCGGACCGGGTGGCGAGGTGCAATCTGACCCGGCGGCGAGGCGCAGTCCGTCCGGTCGGCAATATGCAGTCTGACTGGGCGGAAATATGCAGTCCGTCCGGTCGGCGATATGCAGTCGGACCGCGGACGGCGAGGCGCAGTCGGACCGAGCGGCGAGATCCAGTCTGACCGGGCGGCGAGGTGCAGTCGGACTGAGCGGCGAGATGCAGTTTGACCAGGCGGCGAGGTGCAGTCGGACCGAGCGGTGAGGTGCAGTCGGACCGGACGGCGAGGTGCAGTCGGACCGGGCGGCGAGGTGCAGTCGGACCGAGCGGCGAGGTGCAGTCGGACCGGACGGCGAGGTGCGGTCGGACCGGACGGCGAGGTGCAGTCGGACCGGGCGGCGAGGTGCAGTCGGACCGAGCGGCGAGGTGCAGTCGGACAGCTCTCACGAGGTGCAGTCGAACCGGGCGCCGCCGTTTTTGGTGTGGCGAGCTCCGCAGCGAGCAGCTGGGCTAATCAGCCGGCGCCCGGTCACAGCACGGCTTCGGCCAGTCCGGCTTCGCTTCCGTTCGGCTCGATTGGCGCGCCCGCCGCAGCCGACTCGATAACGGATGAGCAGGAGGCTGGACTTGGGGGCTCTTCGTCAATGGTATCATTACTTGTGGCATTAGTTTGGCTTTAGTAAGAGGTTGCTGGTGTTGTGTAAATGACGTTGGATGAGCTGAGTGCTCGACGACGCCTGGGAGCCCCTGACGGGGGTTGGGGGTGAGGGTGGGGTGGGGGGAACCTAACCACCCTCACGTCCTGTCAGGATTGTTCAACACATTTTCAAAGTCTTGCGGCGGACACGAGAGTGGAACGCGGGAAGCGGACTACACGCCTCTTCCAACACGATGCAATAGTTTAACTACGCGCGATGCAAATGAAATCAAGTCAATATTAAATTAATAATATAACTAAACCACTTCATAATAGGTCGGCATGCACCCGGGCTTTCATTTCGCAGATTATGTACGCTCTATGACAATGCAGGTGGTATGACGCCTGAAGCATAATATCAAGAAGCTTCTGCTTTAAAGTCGAACTCGCCGTAATGTGTTCAGCCGCAATGAGCTGTGCAGGAACCATTTACATTATTCAAAGAGTAACTCGTCGCCAAAGCAAAGCAAGAACCAAAACAAAGGGCATAACGACATGATCAACGTTTTCAGCTTTAAAGTACCCGAAAATCTGTAAAGACCTTCTGTAAAGACCTTTTATTACATAAAAGAGTACTTTTCGGCTTATTCTTCGTCGAATAACCAGGAGAAAAAAGAGATAGATGCGTTAATATTTCTACATGCATGTCTATATCAAACAGCTACGAAAAGCAAAGTAAAAGCTCAAAATTGCCCACCAATCATACTCAATGTTTCAAATTTTTGTTTATTTAAAGGCGAGCCACACTTTTCACAACTCAACGACTGTGACTCGCTGTTAAAAGACATCCAAATTCGAGTGGGATCGCCTGGCAAATTTCAAGTTTGAATGTTTTGCTCGTAACCGTTTTGATAGAGACGTGTAGCTGAAGTATTAGCACATCTATCTCTCACCTCTCCTGGTCACTCGACGAGGAATAAGGCTAAAACTACTGTCTTATGTAAGTGTGGAACATTTCTCGCAAAAGAATTGAATAACTTACGTAAGAACTTTTATTGATAAAAAGCAATATTGTTCGCCAGGGCTCGGTCGCCACGTCCCAAACAAGAGGTGGGCCAATAATGCAAGATCCCATGACAATGTTCCACCAATAATTATCGATCTAGAGCATCACTAAGACCCCCACTAAGGCAGACCGCCTTGACCTATCGCGCTCTTTCCTGGAACTGCATGCGGCTTCAACCGGGTTTGCGCACAATGTTGGATTTTCATCAAACTGTACGACCTTAAAGCCCAAAAAGCACTGAAGCGTCGTCACTGATAACACACCAGCAGGCTATGAATCAAGTAAGATGGACGATTTCGTATCCATCAGAATAAACGTCGCGCACCATGCGCCATTCTGCTCGTAAAGTCCGCCGACACAGGTGAAGCCAACGACGCGGTGCTAACCGTGCCCAGTACCATTGGAAAGGCATGGCGCTTACGCTGCCACCCTTTACCTCTGCCATCGACTGTGACGATCCATTAACGCGGTCAACTATCAGCAATCGTGACCGGCCCCCACCGACAGTTCGCGGTCCCCCATTGTCACATCTGTCACAACTCATTACGGAAGTCATTGTCCTCGCGAACATTACTATCGCGTGCAAGGCTGCATGGCAGCATGATTCGATTAGATGATTTCACGACGCATAGAATGAGTGGTCATCAGGATCATTAGCAAATGATATGTCCGGCAACGGCAACCATGCCGCGGACCGACCAAATGTCAGCATTCCCACCAACCAACGACAGAAACAAATGACATGTCAACATGTGCCTCCTGTGACAGCTGAGACCAACATACTGCAATGTCCGCACCTGACATGTGACACCTGTCAGCCATGAAACATGACCGAACATGTAGGCATCGCATTCTTTGTGGCGGCATTGCAAAGCAACGGACCACGAAACATACGGCGCCTAGCCATCACAGTCTGGCCTGTGGGGCGTATGGTGACTGGCGCCTTCAACATGGTCGCCGAGTTCAACACGGCCTTATAAGCCACCCCAAATCGATAACGTGCTTCGCGCAGCAGCCTGCATCCAGCATGCGGAACTAAGGCATCGCAAACACCGGTCCCCTTCAAACAGGCAGAATACGCCGCTTTTGACGCCATGGCATTGATTGATATGCATAATTAAGGCGCACCTCATTTGAACTGTTCTTAAAAAAGACGAGTCCAAACGCCTGGTGCAGTTGAGGTGGTAATACGGGCTCAAGTTCAAGTAAAACAGTAGAGCCTTGGGCTCCCCCTCTTTCTTTCTTTCCCTGTCTCTGTCTCTCTCTTTCTCTCTCTCTCTCTCCTCTCTCTCCTCTCTCCTCTCTCTCCTCTCTCTCTCTCTCTCTCTCTCTCTCTCTCTCTCTCTCCTCTCCTCTCTCTCTCTCTCTCTCTCCTCTCCCTCTATCTCTCTCTCTCTCTTCTCTCTCTCTCTCTCTCTCTCTCTCTCTCTCTCTATCTCTCTCTCTCTCTCTCTCTCTCTCCTCTCTCTCTCTCTCTCTCTCTCTCTCTCTCTCTCTCTCTCTCTCTCTCTCTCTCTCTCTCTCTCTCTCTCTCTCTCTCTCTCTCTCTCCGGCCGCCTGAAAGGTAGGCAGTTAATTGGCCAAAGAGAGCCCAGCTGAGCCACGAAGGCCATGCTGTGGCACTGCACGGCCCGTGTAACGCTACACTGAGCCCTATAGCCAAAAGGTCGGAGACTAGCTGATCCGATGGACAGAGTCGGCCCTCCCCTGGGTGGTGGGTGCAGGGCACACGCAATAAACTCTGCTCAACAAGTGCTGTGGAGCCAGGACAACCCATGCAAACCGCACAAAACCAGCTCAAAATAATGTGGGTCAAAATGCAGCGCCAATGAGCCCATGGGTATTGTATGAGGTAATGAGGGTATTATCTTAGGACGTCAAAAGGACACAAAACGGAAAGTCTTCATGCGGATGTCAGCAACGGCACCACATAAACAGCATGTTTGGGAAAACAAAGTGGCTGCCCGAGTCGCCAAACTTTGCTGGGACCCAAACATCTCTCAAATTTGTAGTATTATTTAATGATCCCTCAGAACGAAAATATCAGGCAGGTCTATATGCCACAACTGTAGTGATGAATTGGGGAATTTTATTGAGGGCGGACAAAGCGTTGGGGCTGAGGGACCAATGGGTCTCCACTCGTGGACGATAGTTTAGCACTGGCCCTTTGTTGATGCACAGAAATGATAATCCTTCCAATTTACGTCTAATGTTCATGGATTGACTTGAAAAGCGGGTTTGGTCTTTTCTTCTCGAGACGTTCCAAGGTCAAAAATTAAACACGGCTAGCTCTGCAGTAAAGCACAGAGACAACTCAGCTAAAAAGGGGGCTTTGACCTTCCTCCTCCTCCAACACACTGAATTTCAGCAAACCTTTTAAAAATAGAATGGTTCTCAGCAAAACTGGCTAGAACCATTTCTATCGTTATCAGTATATTTATTATCACAATTTCGTTCTAAACTCAGCTAAAAGCCACTGCTAACTTTCTACCGATAAATTTCTGTCGCTGACTTGATCAGCTGAGCGTGTCGGATGGCTCGCAGCTTGTCTCCGAAAAAACACCGGCTTTAATACGGCAGTGTCAAACTGTGACGATAAATTTCCGCCCGCCGCTTAACCACAAAAGAGTCTGTCACTAGCGCGGTGAGCAATGACCACCAATGTCCCACAGCTTCAGCCTGAGCCAGCTCCGACTCCGCCGAGTCCGTGTCAGCTCTGGCTCGGACTCGAGTCGGACTCAGCGAAACTGAGCTAGAGCAAGAGCTCGGAACTAGACTTGAACCCATACTCGACTCGAGCTGACCGGCCTTGACCTGAGCCAGCTCAGCGGCGCCCGACGCGGGTCCACACTCGGCTCGAGCTGACCGGCCTTGACCTGAGCTAGCTCAGCGGCGCCCGACTCGAGTCCTTACTCGGCTCGAGCTGACCGACCTTGACCTGAGCCAGCTCAGCGGCGCCCGACGCGGGTCCACACTCGGCTCGAGCTGACTGGCCTTGACCTGAGCCAGCTCAGCGGCGCCCGACTCGAGTCCTTACTCGGCTCGAGCTGACCGGCCTTGACCTGAGCTAGCTCAGCGGCGCCCGACTCGGTTCGAGCTCACCGGCCCGGACCCGCAGCCACCCGTACCTGCAGCACGGTGAACACGACGCCGAACAGGAGGAGCGAGGCGACGCACCAGACGGCGCCCTGCACGTAGAACCAGTTGAAAGAGGAGGTGGCCGGCTCCGGCGCCAGGAAGTAGCTGTCTGCGGTGCGCCGGCGGGTGCCGCGCACGCAGTGCTCTGTCGATCACAGGCCACAGGTCACCGGCCACGCAGCGGGTCGCGGCCGTGGCCGAGCGGGTGTGACCGCCGGCAACGCTCGCGGTGGCCACGTCAGACAACGCATGGGACGGAGCGGACGTGGCGTGCCGGAGGTCCATTGTACGCCCGGCTGTTTCATGCCAGCAGTGGGTATGCACTGCTTACGGACCATCTAGCATGCCGCCGTCCAGGTGCTTCCTGCGGCAGTGGAACGTGTGGTCGGCGAGCACGCAGCTAGCGACGCCGGTTGGGTCTTCTTAGCAGTCATGTCGGGCGCAGCCTGAGTTCTGGGCAGCAATACGAGAAGCACGATGGTCATAGACGCTCGCGTCGCCGCGTGCCCTTAAATGAGGCCCGGCAGCTCGCGAATCGCAGCATGTCAAGGGACTACTAGCTTTTTTCACGCATCTGAGTGCACCCTCAGAGGCAAAAAAAAACCAGAAAAAATCACATAAGACCCCTGATCGATCAGTAAATCAACTAAACAACACAACGGGGCTAGCTGGCCAGCACGACCAGCTAGCCCCCACGAAACGTACACAATTTGCAGTGACCTTCCGTCTGATCAGCCGCGCACGTCTCCAGTCGGTGCGGCAAAAAGGAGGGCCAAGAAGTGGCGCGGGACTGCGGCATCGACCATCGGCCAGCGTGCGCCCCGCGCAGCACCGGAGAACAGACTCGAACACGAGCGTCGAGCGGCGTCCGGTCACGTCTCCAGACGGCGGCTGGTCCCCCTCCGTCACCGGCGGAGGGGTGCTGACCTTTCGCCCCGGCCCATGCATGGTAATGCCCCAGACACGACCCGAGCGCTCGGTCCGGTCAGCAGTTACAGCCGCCGCAGCCATTCGCCGCCAGCAGTGTGCGCCAAGTTCTGAGGCACGCGAGGCGCGCAGCGTGCCTCAGAACGCAACTCTAGCTGGCTGACAGCCAGGTGCGGCAAGACATCCGAATTGGAAAACTTCCCGAGACACCTCAACACCAACAATCGGGGTGGCAGTACGCTCTGTAATCATCGAACTGGTTTCGGGTCGTAACTTCGCTTCTTCGCCTCCTCCCCTTCCCCGGCAGCAAAACACGAGTGGGATTGCCACACAGAGGCTCCAACCGAAAAACGCCCCTGTGGCCATACCGAGATCTAATTAAACGGACGACGAGCTGCGACGGGGTAGTCTGGAGTTTAGGGGCGCGCCGACTGCGGCGGTCATTTGGGACGGGGTAGTCTGACGGCGCGTCACCGTTCAGACATCAGCAGCATCCAGTGGGACGCCGCCAGTCATTTGCATGGGAAAATGTCACTCAGGTGTTTTCTGAGATTCGCGTAGATTTTAAGTCACTACTTAACCACCGGGCGCGACGGCTGGAGCGGCAGCGACAGTTCGTGTGGGCTTTTAAAGTGATGGCCACGCAATCACAATTGCACGAGCACGCGATTCTACATTTGTGTGGCCACGTGGTGCGCACAGGGCTGCGAGGGCTGCGAGTCGCCAGCAGGCGACCACCAAGTCCGTCAGCCAACGGCCGTAGCCGGACTCGCAGCGACTGTGGACTGAGTCACGCTAGCTGAAGGTGGATATACAGTGAAGGTGTCTGCCGTCGCAATGACCGTGCCGTCCAGTGTCACACTGACCATGGCTAGTGTTGCAACAGTTATGGGTGGGGGCCCCTGTGCCCATGGCTGTAGTGGCACTAACCGCGGCTGGGGTCGCACGGGCAGCAGGAGGCCGGCGTCGCCGTCCTCGGGCGCTGCTGGTCGCAGCAGCGCAGACACCGGTGCTGGGGCAGCTGGAGTCGCAGCTCACCTGCCGCACACGCGTTGAGCCCGGTCAGCGGCCCCACTGACACGCTCGGTCTCCACACGCCACGGTGTGCGGCTGAGGCCTGCTGTCGGCCGCTTGTTCCAGCTGACTACCCTAATGATTACAGCCGCCACATGCGGCGCACAGCAAACAAAGCATTGTGATTAGCAGCGCTCTCGGCAGACGCGCCGCCTGCTCAGCTCGCCTCACAGGGCAAGGGGCCGCGGCGGCGACGCAGCAGCACGGCTCCGACCGAACCCACTGCTTACGCCGCCATCTCGGGCCAATTAGCGGCGACACGACACTCGGCGCCGGACGAACAGCCGAGAGAGGGACGAACAGCCAAGAGAGGGACCAATAGCCGGGAGAGGGACGAACGGCCGGGAGAAGGACCAACAGCCGGGAGAAGTACGAACGGCCGGCAGATGGACCAACAGCCGGGAGGGGGACGAATGCCCGGGAGAGGGACGAACCGCCGGGAGAAGGATCAACAGCCGGGAGAGGGACGAACGGCCGGGATAAGGACCAACAGCCGGGAGAGGGACGAATGGCCGGGATAAGGACCAACGGCCGGGAGAAGGGCCAACAGCCGGGAAAAGTACGAACGGCCGGGATAAGGACCAACAGCCGGGAGAGGGACGAATGGCCGGGAGAGGGACGAACGGCCGGGATAAGTACCAACAGCCGGGAGAAGGGCCAACAGCCGGGAGAAGGACGAACGGCCGGGAGAAGGACACCAGCACTCACCAGCGCACGACGTGCAGTTGCGCGGGCCGGGTCCCTGGCACGTGCCGCACGTCTCGTAGCACGGCCGGCACACCTTAGCGCGCGGTTCAAAATACTCGCGGCCGCCGCATGGAACGCATGTGTTGGCACCGCTTAGTAGCTGGTACCCCTCGTGGCAGGAACTGCAGCTGGTCAGCTCAATTCCTGAAGCAGAGAGGAGGGGGCTGAGCGACTCCCAGCATCGATCTGGTCCGTCTTGCCTAACATGTTGAATGGGACTTCACGTCTTGGATGGAGGGGTGGAAATACGCAAAGCAATGTGACGTGGAAGCCAGCAGGCACGTCGTGTGGAATTCTCAAACCGCAGGGACGCTAACATGTATTGCATACCGTATGCGCTTTTGAGTCGCCATTCGAGACCCCCGCACGAATTAAGCGCAGCCTGTCGCAAGTCAAGCTTGCACGCATCTGGATCCCTTCCGCGACAGTGGAACACAATGTCATGCTGATCTTTCAAGCTGCTGTGTTACCAGGGTTCCCAGTCAGGTACTCTGACGTCATGGTTCCATGAGTGGTTGTTCAATTGCTACAACATGTTGGGCAGCACGACAGGAGCGAATTGGGTAATTTTCGCCGTTTGATAGCTTCATCAATTATTCAGCACCAACAAGAAATAACAGCCTTGTCCTGGTGTGAAACACAAAGAGCCGTATGACCTTCTATAAATTGCTTTATAATCTAAGAACCACAGCGTTAATTGCAAGCTTCAATTCTTCTGCCAGCCGGGTCAAAATAAATGAAAGCAAATGCAGGCGAGCCAATTCCTTAAGCCTTGACGATCACTATGATGAAGTACAAAAACAGCCGTGACTAGACTTAATGCTCAGAATGTCGCCAAGCAGCTCGGGCAAGTTTTCTTTCACTAACATGTTGGAGACATTGTTATTCGTCCGCACAATGTCGCGTGTTATAACGCACGGTTTCACCAGTTAATTGCATGCATACAGCATAGCTTGCGTAGAACAAAGCCGACAAACGGTTGCAAAATCGCCGTGCGGATTCTGGCTTGTTCAGAATTCAGATCTGAAGGCCAACTTATGGCTGTTCCACCTCTTTATGAGCTTTAAAGGTCGAGTTTATACGCATTTTCGAATAACGGAGTTCCGTATGAACACAGCGCACTTCTTCATCCTTAACTTCACCCATGTCCTAACCAGTTTATGGAAAGGCTTGAAAAGAAAACATGTCTAATCAGGCTGTGAGCCTTCAAGGAGTCAATGTCTAGCTAATTTACCAGCGGTACAGTTCAAACAAGGTGACCCCGCCCGGTGACTGCGCGATGATGGGTTTCAACGAAACCTAATCCTTTTAGAATAGGCTGTCTTGCGACACATGCATAGTGAGAATCACTGGCTTTTGCGCGAGTAGTGGGAACATGTCGTAGAAAGAACCGAAAGTGTTATATGTAAAAGAAGCATTCAAGACAATTATTTTGGTTACATATGTCAGGGCGATGTCAAAACCGCTGAAATACAAAAGGGAACAACACTTGGAGTACCTAACAGCAATTGTTACCAATATTCCAGTGGCCCGAGTCCCATCCTCCCCGGACGGAAGCGGCCTGGCTGGGCTTCGATGGGATGCGTCAAGCGCATGCTGACACGGCACCCGCCGCCCTTACACAGGCCACGCACGGCTGAAGCAAGACTGGAAACGGCATTATCGCAATACGCTTCCTTCATACCCAATCGAACCCGTAAGCTTAGGTTGTCCTCACGCACAACGACGCCTGAGCGCTCCTTTATTTCAATGCCAGCTCACAAAAACCGGCACTGATCGGCCTACGGAGGCCATCGATTAGCACTTCGAGCCGACCTTCAACGCTCGGAAAATATTTCACAGACTGGCGGTGCACTTCCGGCCAGCGGTCGGCGTCGGCGGAATCGGTCCAGTCATGGTGCGGTAAAGTATATGGTGCGGACCGAGTTTGAGCCTAGCGTGTGTGTGTGTGTGTGTGTGTGTGTGTGTGTGTGTGTGTGTGTGTGTGTGTGTGTGTGTGTGTGTGTGTGTGTGTGTGTGTGTGTGTGTGTGTGTGTGTGTGTGTGTGTGTGTGTGTGGTGTGTGCGTGTGTGCGTGTGTGCGTGTGTGCGTGTGTGCGTGCGTGCGTGCGTGCGTGCGTGCGTGGGCGTGCGTGCGCGCGCGCGCGTGTGTGTGTGCGTGCGTGCGTGCGTGCGTGCGTGCGTGCGTGCGTGCGTGCGTGCGTGCGACATTGAGTACCTCAGCGTTAGCTTGGCCCTGTTTAACGGCACCACTGTCCACTGTTGAAATGGTTGCCGGGTGCGTGATGAAGCCATGCGTCGATTCCTCTAGCGCGCGTGAAACGCGTTCGGCAATTGTAAGTAGCAATTTTCACGAATGATCACGGTGCAAAATCTATCGCGCACCTTTTGCCAGCGATTGAAATGCGTAGGCTATATTTCAAAACAATGTTTGCAAAGACGCATAATATACAATTGCGGTTAGCTGGCTATAAGCAAGATCACGCTTTTATAGACGGATATGATGCCAGATCTCTTCGTACCGAAACTTTTCATCTCATTAAAAAACGTTTGGTAGCATGTCTGGCGCGAACGCGACAAAACGAGCTCCTATAACCTTGCATCGCCCCCGTTCACAGGCATGCAGTGCCTACAGAGCTTACTTACAGTACCTACAAGGCCTACATGGGTTACACCTTAACATAGTCCAAGGTGAATGATCCTCAAATGAAATCATCCTCATAGCCCGCCTTGCTCCACACAGCACCCATGTAAACAATAATGACGCAGCCAGCATCGAACACCCTTGACTGATTCATATCACTGATTGCCAGGTGTAGTATTTTCCTAGAACTTGGATGAGCTAAAGGCATCGGCTGAAGGAATATCTATAATCGGTCTCATTTAATATATACAACATTTATCTGCTGGATACACACGGCTAAACCATTGCATGTTGGATAAATCACACGAAAATAATATTTTCTTTATCAGACTGTTGAGTATATGCTAACATTTTCTAGCAACAGCTGAAGCACGTTATGAAAAGTTTTCAGTCCATCGAAACGCTTCAGTGCTTCCCACGTGAAAATGGCTGTTGTCATATCACAACGGTCTCGAACACAGAGTGCGGATGCGCCGATTAAAGCGACGGACACATCATACTCTGATGACTTTAGGGTTGTTGCTGCGTTGTCGGCATCCATCGCCTTTGACCGACGCATATTGCTGTTTACCAGGCTTAGTATTTTCCTAGAGTTTGGGTAACCTTACGGTATGGGCTGAAGAAATGTCCATGAAGGGTATCATTCAAAATAACATCTGTACCTCCATTCTACTTGTTTTTCTCCGAGGCATGCGGCTATTACTACTGTCTTATCTACGTGAATTATGCTCCTCGCAAATGCACTTAACAACTTACGTGGTTTACCTGTTGCATGCTAATGCAATGGCATTAAAACTATCTTCCTTGGCGGGGTGTGCAGTATGTACTAACTAAACCTTCATCGAAACATTTCAAAAACTTTTGAAACTTTTCAGTGCATTAATCCATCGTAAAAACGACTGCTGAAACATTTTCCTAAATCAAAAGTACGCATAGGCCATGACTTTACTTAGAAACCCCATGGACTCTCGCAGTTGGTAAAAAAGTACGCTGAACTGCCTTGATACGGCAAAACAGCATTGCTCACAAAATAGCCCGTACGCTGGTGAATCCGGCGGCCCATTTATGGATAACAGATTCGTCATGCTTTTTTCGTCGCTCACGAGCCATCTTTAAAAAGCATTTATTCAAATATTCAGAAGTCGGATTTGCTTCGATGTTGCCAATGTTTGGCAGAGAAGCTTTATCCTTGAAGCGAAGCACTACGTCCGCGCGTGGAGAATGCTGAGATGAGTTGCGTGACAGAAATACACAAACAGGGATCTTTCTATAGTGACTTGCTTCGATAAGGCTGTTGTCCAAGGCGACAACAACGACCACCTCTTTACTACAGTCATGCAGTGCTAATGGACACCGCGCATTCCATAAGCTGGTGTGATTGTATGCCAACAAACACATCACACGAAGAGCGCGGTCAAATACATAGGTATATAGAACGAACATGAGTTCTTATACAGTATAGCATTCGACAGTTCACGACTGTCACCACATGCCATACGTTGAATGCCTGTCTGGAATCATTCCCCCATAATGACCATATCGTCCGCTAATTTGTTTGGCCTGTGGCTTCGGCCATTTCAGACATCATTAGCATTGATACCCTTTAAAGTTAGATTCACAAATATGCTCTATGTAATGATCTAAGTTTGGTTGGTTTTGATTTGGGTTTTGGCTTGAAACTCTCCGGCTCTGGAAGCCCAAAAGCCATCAGATTCGAGAAGTGCATAACTGACTGGATTGTGGGATGGAACATATCAAATTGGCTTTGGAAAGATGAGGACGTCACATAAAGCAATTACACATATTTCGAATTACAGTGGCACAAGTAGGTACAGAGCAAATCGAGCGTACTTCACCCGTACCCGTGCTCTTAAGTATAGCGGCAGCAACAAACACTGAAACATATTGTGTACGACCAAAATCCTCAGTGTGCTCATATCACGCATACACAACTTAAACAGATATGGCGGCACTGTGCCTCCTCACTTGACTCCATCCAGACAGAAAACGATCTGGGAGTACCGAGTCTCAGTTCACAGACGTGGTCTCACGCGAATGTCAATGTCGACATGCGCACCACATATTCAGCCAGCCCCATCCTGAGCAGCTTCTCAAAAACAATTTGACGACTAGCACGGCCCAAACGTTGCTCGCAACCACGAAAAAATAAACGTACTGCTGTTCCATGCTCTGCGCGAGCCAATACACTATTTGAGGACGTTTATGGCTCGGTCTGTGGTTCGGGTGTTGAATTGCTTCGGTAAAGTGACCAGATAATCAGTCATCCGTTTGTGCATATTATCTCCAATACTTTGCTCGCCAGGGCAGGTAGTGTGACCACTTCCACACCTGCCACGCTGTATTTTCTCCCCTTGCCCACGTCTAACCAGGATCTGGTGCCAAATGTGTCGTTTGCACCGCCATATGCACTGTGCTGGCCACTCGCTATACCGACGAGCAGCGGGTTATATAAGAAACATGAATAGTATATTCACGTGCTCTTCGGATATTTCCTGTTGATTGTTGCAGATTTTATACGATTGTACTTTGCATTATACCCACAAACGTAGGAACATTCATGGCTATAAACGCGGAGACGAACAGGATAACTCCATAACGAACTTGGGTTAGTGCGATACTGACGTATGATCCACAGTGCCGTAATACTGTTGAATACGTGATGTTCTGTTATCCTGATTGCTGCGTCCAATTTTGAGCCTCCACTAATTGAGTTCGGTATCTCTCCGTTGCAACATGATGACAGCTTGGTTTTTATGTATTTTTTTCATTTGTCCGTGAAGCATCGTACAAATTCCTGATTTGGGCGGACGGTGGTTTAGCAAATGCAACCAAAATCTGTTGAAATATAGACGTTTTCGGAACGCCTTGATTCCGACAGCGTTTCTGGTGGATTTGATCCCGTCACATCAACTAAGTTCAGGCTACGAGCACCCTCCCTGTCACCTTCCATTCTCGCCAAACGGTTAGATCTGCATCACAATGGCCAATTACGCGACATTTTCGAGTCAGCACCCTTGTCAGTTCAGCCAGGAAAGCACTGGCCACGCGTAAGACCTCTGCAGCAACATGCTGCTTTTGCTGCCGGAACAGCCAGGCGCGCTTTCCGAAGTCAACCGCCCTTGGGATTAGACGACCGCTCAACTTGAACCTCTCCTCTGAGACCTAATGTGCCCGACGACAGCGCTGGCCGATCATGCAGGGGTACGTGGAGCGTTGGCGCGAGCTGGGCACTGCCCACCAGCGCTCTTGTCCGCTCCTAAAACACCCCACGTGAGCGGGCTAATATAGGGGGCCGATTTGTTCTGCCAGTGTCTTGGCAACCGCAATTAAAACGCACATCTAGAGACCACCTAGTTACAGCAAAAACGGTCAAGCATATCAGGAAGCGACAGCTTCGAAGTCCATTTCTCTCTCCTAGCCCTGTGACGGGCGCTAGATAAGCAAATGGCACATAACACAGACACAATAGCATTTCCTCTTTAGTAACCATTATCATGTAGGTAGTGGAGGTGTTACGTAAACACGGAAAGATAAGTGAATGTAGTCAGCGCAGATTGATAACTGACAGCCCATACCATTGCCACGATACACCATTTACACCACAGCATCATTAACTAGCCTATTCCAACGTCACTTACAAATTAGGGTTGGTATAACCCTAAATGTTCTTTGGATAAAGCGGAGACTGATACCATTGAAGCTAAAGAGCATTTCCTTGTCAACACCATGCATGGTCATGAGATCATTTTGGGTGGATATCAGTCACAACTCACAGTGAAGTTGGCTGCACGTCTGAAGTTTGTGAGATCTCAACTCAGATCGAGATCCCCCTCAGTTTTGACTGCAACGCGTTGTGCTTGAGAACGGTTTTGAAAAGGGCGGCACTGGCCGCCTTCCGGTCCATTGCTGGTATCACGATGGGTCCGGTAGTGTTGAGATCATCTGGCAATCTGTGCCACGATGAGTCAGGTAGTGTTGAGATCATTTCACAATCTGTGCCAGGATGGGTCAGGTAGTGTTGATACCATTCATCAGTTTGTGCTATGATGGGTCCGGTAGGGTCAGTTCAAGATCATTCAGGTCGGGTCAGATCAGGATCATTTGGCAACTGTGAACGGCATGTCTTTGATTGCTCTGGTGGCTGATATCCGTTATCAACATTAAAGAAGGCCCCTCCCCCAAAACGGGCGGACCCATGGCCTGCTTCGAGCGAGCGTGACCGCCTGCACCTCTCGATGCACGCTGAACAAAGCGATTGTCAGTTTCCCGCCGCGCCAACGGTGTTCACGTGTCGCTGTCGACGCCAATGTCTGGGTCCGGTTTCATCCGTACGGATTGTTTTTTGTAGTTAACAAAGCTTACCTCTCCGATGTTGAACGAATGGGAAGAACATTTTTCGTCACGCTGTAGTGTTGGCGGTAAACGGCGCCCGGACATACGACCGCAGGCGCGTATATTAAAGCCTGCACAGCGCATTTATGAAGAATTACGCTTCCTACCACAAACAGCCGTATTAAGCTGCGATCGGTGGATGCCGGGCCCGTCCACGTTGAATACTTTATCACGTGTTGATGCAAGACTCGATCAGCCTGGAGCCTCAATCGCAATAGATTCCTGTTTTCCGGTTCAAATTTCCTGTTTTCTCTCATAAACTGCACCACATCGCAGCCGGGGACCGTGTCTCGGCACCTCATTATGGCGCGCTCAAAGGGCGCCATATATCGCAGCACGGCTGACCTACGGCCGGCCCGTGTGGGCATCTCACCTCGGCGGCGCAGCCAGGCAGGCGCGGCGCGTGGCGCCTCATCCTCCAGTGAGACGGCCCCATTGTTGACACAACTATAAATAGTAGCGATTCCCAGGATCTTTTCCAGCGCTCCTTACCACCAGAGCCCAAGTGCACCAGTGGGAGACCAGGGAAGCGCCACTGAAGGCGGCAAACTGCTACCGTCCCAGCTGGCCGGGCCGCAGCGCCAGCGGTTCTATCGTGGCGATGCGGCCCAGAACCGCCGCCACCGGATGTCACCTGCCGCGCCGCTCTCAATACTTTACCAATTCGTTGACAATGAAACTGTGTGTTACACTGCATACTTTCGGCTTTCTCGTGAGGAATAGATATCTATCGCTACATACCCGGCCGTCGTACACGGGTGACTCCTCGTGCGACATCACCAACGGACCGGAACCTGAACAGTTACCGCTTGGATGGTGCCTCGGTGCAACACGTGCCACGTTATTAAAGTCAGCATCATGTCCGCTCCCAATTCGCCAAAATTCCCGCCAATTATCAGGTCAATTCCCGGACAGGCGGATCGGCGCTGGCACCCGGTGTTCACATGTGCGCACGTATCGTCCCTGACTGACCTGTGCACGTGCGACACGTGCGGTGGCAGCGGCGGCAGCCGGCAGGCGTCTGGAAGTAGCCGCTCGGACAGCTGGTGTGGCAGCTGCCGGCCACCAGCAGCCAGCTGGCGTGGCACGACACACACTCGTCCGGCCGCGGCCCGAAGCAGGTCAGGCATGTGGGCGCGCACGGCAGGCAGTCGTCCAGGGAGCGGTACGTGCTGGGGGAGGCGCGAGCGTGTCAGCCGGCTGAGCCACACGGACCCAGGTCACACCGCTGGGGAGTCACTCGGCGTCTTCGGGGAGACAGGGGTCAGCCGGCTGAGCCACACGGACCCAGGTCACACCGTTGGGGAGTCAGTCGGCGGCGCCGGGGAGACAGGGGCCAGCCGGCTCAGCCACAAGGACCCAGGTCATCTCGCTGGGGAGTCAGTCGGCGGCGCCGGGGAGACAGGGGTCAGCCGGCTCAGCCACAAGGACCCAGGTCCACCGCTGGGGAGTCAGTCGGCGGTGTCGGGGAGACAGGGGTCAGACGGCTCAGCCACAAGGACCCAGGTCATCTCGCTGGGGAGTCAGTCTGCGGCGCCGAGGAGACAGGGGTCAGCCGGCTCAGCAACACGGACCCAGCTCAGCTAGCTGGGGAGTCAGCCGGCGGCCCCGGGAAGACAGGGGTCAGCGATGATAACCAGACCGCAATTAGTGACCAGGGCGAACATATGCCAGTACGGAGACATGAACCACTGGTCAGAAAATCATGCTAAAAGTGCTGCCACCACCCAGACAGGAGCAAGCCGCTGCCGCTCCGTTTACAAATGAGGTGACTGTCGAAGCCATAGTTCAAACCCGCTTGCGAGATCGCTGTAATTTATGCACTGTTTTGATATTCTACGGCGCTTATTAGCATACAATTTTCGCAAGTTTGTGAATGGCAACGATCAAACTTATTACCAGGACGGCGAAGTGTGGGTAATAGGTCAACTAGAGTTCAGCTCGCGGACAGGCCACCACCGTACCGGATCTCAGTGACGTCAGACGAGTGTCCTCACACACATCCTGGAGCGCGGGCGGATCTCAGTCGACATAAACGTCAAGCTCTCACCAGATTCGATTCACTTCGTCTTGCAGTTGGGAGAAAAGCAAATACTGCTTTACAACGTAAGTTCTGCATTCTTAAACGTATATTCACTTGATGCCTATAGGAAGACATCTGAAGCAGAAGACAGGAAACCTCACAGGTAATACTGAATTTCTTTGCTTCTTGCATTTCTTGGAGCCTTCCGCGGGCATGCTGTCTAGATCGGGAAGTCTCGATATCAAGTTAGGAGGGCTCGACCGAAAGCTGGGTGGAGGGGCTGTAGCTCCTCCAGCTGAAGATCATACGCAGCAGCAACGTAGTCTTCAGGCACCCACACGTGCGCTATGGGTGTCGCACAACGCGGTCTGACAGGCCAAAACACGCTCCCACCAGCCCCAGCATTAATTCCGGGTACTTTCATCCGAGGACAAATCCACTGCGGCAACTGGATGGCGAGGAGACGCACAAATCATTTCCAATACTTTTGTTTGCGGAGCATTCCCCACTGGCTTGGAGCCGCATCGTGTTTTAGAAAGGCGACATCTAAGTGCAGAATGGCCGCGCCCGCCCACGACCAGTCCTGCTGCGGGACGGTGACCAGCCGCGCCGGGAGGTGTCAGCAGCCAGCGCCCGCCCAGGACCAGTCCTGCTGCGGGACGGTGACCAGCCGCGCCGGGAGGCGTCAGTGAGGGCGGCGGGATCGCCGCGCCAGCGATCCGGGCCCTGTCAGCGGTCGGGCGGGCGTGCAGCGGCTGGCAGCAGCGCTGTGACGGCTGATTCTGACGGGCGGACGCCGCCGGCCGATCGCAGCGGCTAATACGTTTAGGCGCCGAGCGGCACGCGCTCGGCGCCCAGACAGACAGCCGGCCGGTGCGGCTTCTCCGAGCCGCGGCAGGTGCTCAGACCGTGCGCCGCACACCCAGGGGACCGCTGGCGGCCAGAGTCGGACAGCCCGAGAACTGCTGAAGAGCAGAGCCGGACAGCCCGAGAACTGCTGAAGAGCAGAGCCGGACAGCCCGGCCGGCCGGACTGTCCGGCAGCTGACGGCCGGAATCGGACAGCCCGGGAACTGCTGACGGCCACAGTCGGACAGCCCGGGAACTGCTGAAGGGCAGAACCGGACAGCTCGGGAACTACTGAAGAGCAGAGCCGGACAGCCCGGGAACTGCCGAAGGCCAGAGTCGGACAGTCCGGGAACTGCTGAAGGGCAGAGCCGGACAGCTCGGGAACTACTGAAGAGCAGAGCCGGACAGCCCGGGAACTGCCGAAGGCCAGAGTCGGACAGCCCGGAAACCGCTGACGGCCAGAGTCGGACAGCCCGGGAACTGCTGAAGGGCAGAGCCGGACAACCCGAGAACTACTGAAGGCCAGAGTCGGACAGTCAGAGAGACAGCGGCTCGAGCTGGTGGCGGGCCCGCGCCGCGGCTGACTGCGTGCAACAATGCGGCGCGGCGCGGGGGGTCGATACGATAAACAAGGAGGGTCGGGACGCATAGCCACCAAAATTACTCAAATGCATTAGTTAGATGTGCATGTTGTGACGTCGGCAGCACACGTGAGCATATTAAATGTTGTGTCCACTCGTAGCTTTTTTCTCGCCCGGTTACTGCAGCGATTGCTCCATCTGCATGCCATTGAGATGGATCACAATTGGTTAGGATTCCGGTCAAATCCAAAAACATGCTTTTCGTTCTCTGGCCGGCTTAAATGAACGATTTTATGTTCATCCTATTGGGACCTAACGCTTTCTTTTCATGGTAAGGTTTCTGTGCAATATTTCTGACATGATATTACCTCTGCCAGATTATTCATTCTGACTTCTCAGCCTTATTTGAAACATTGATTTACGAGACCACACAAAACACCAATGAAAGATGTGCCCTAAACAGCTCATGAAAATTGCAACGGTATTTTCATCGAGGGAGGAGAGATATTGTTTGTACCAAAATAACCGTGCATGTCTGCGAAGACCGTCCCTTTCAGCTTATTTGATAAAACGTGAGGAGGGAAGATGGCGCCAGTCAGATGGGGAGACGGCACCAGTCAGGTAGGGAACCAGGGAAATCGCCGGAAACGCACACTGGGTCCGGTCACGTGCATCGAGCAAGAACGCACTCAGCGCAGACCGGTTTGAAACGTTTTAAAAAGCTGACAGTACTAGTCTCTGTGATTTCAAACATCTGCGGTACACTAACTGTGCATGCTCCCTCTAGCTTACCGAAACAATTAGCTTGGCGAGCGAAAGCCTACATCGCTAACAGGCACGTCAAATCAACGAATTCATAGAACGCATTGTTTATCAGAATGGAAAAAAACACACAAGTTACACCTGCCTACGTTTCTCTAGCGGTCAGCTCAGGTCAGCAGCGGTCATCTCAGGTCAGTAGCGGTCAGCTCAGGTCAGCAGCGGTCAGCTCAGGTCAGCAGCGGTCAGCTCAGGTCAGCAGCGGTCAGCTCAGGGAGCGCCGGACGGGGCTAGCGCTGCCCGGTATCCGCAGCCCCTTGCTTACGGAACATGGCACGCATCGTCCCGCGCCTTTTGTTATGGAGCGCCAGCGACCGCTGGGGCCATATTGGCGCCCAGGGGCCCTGGCGCAACCGGGGTTTGAGCGAGGCGTCCCCATGTGGGGCCGATGGCGCTAACCACTCGGCCATTACGACCCCTAATATCCGTAGCCAGCCATGCGGAAGAGGCACTAACCCAATATTGTCGCACATGTGGGACGGGTCATTGGCCGCTTCATTTACTCAGGGAAATACACGGGCAAAGAAAGAATGCGGCAGAGTGACAAATATCGCGTGATCAGCTTAGTTATGGGGCATTGCTGTGCGTCCTGTGAGACATGCCATCGAATGAACATCGAATCGTGCGATATCACTGTTTACAAGGAGTATCTCGCAGGGGGTCTAATATCTCATTCACAATGTAGCTAAACAACACGATATTGTTATTTCTTACTGGAGCTTTGTCCATGGATTTTCGCTAAAGAATTTAAGGCGCTGAGCCCACAAAAAGTACTCGTCATGGACACTTGTGGAAAAATCTGTATGCTCGTATGATGCATACAGTATCTCTTGTTTTCGCCGAGCTTTCTCGTTATGCCTCAGTGACTGCAACGTCTTTGTCATACCACAGGCGCAACGGCAGACGAACACTGATTAAAAGACAATAGCAGGCAATTGTTGAAATGCATTCACAAGAGTCAGACGTTTCCGACAAAGTCCGTTGCCATTCGTGATAACTGACGCCGCTGAAAGGTTGATTACTTTGATAACATGTTCCAATGATAGCTTGACATATTATTCTAACTGGCAACTCCCCGAATATCAAAGGTCTGTTATTTTCGGCGTAAGAGCTCAAACACCGGTAAAATAGCAGCCCAAGGCCCTGTTTACACGTACGGAACATTTCTAATACGTTTTGTACCACAGTGTTTCTGTCGGCAACAGTGCGGGAAGCTGAAATACTTCACGTGTTCGAGTTAAGTCGGCTAAAAAAACAGACAGCAGAAAGCATAATGGCACACTCGTTACAAATATGACAAATATTGGTTGCGCCCAATCCCATTAAGAGGTCTGTAAGCTGTCAGATGTAAGCTGTCAGATGATGTCAGATGTCAGATACACCAGATTTGTAAGCACTACGGCGACTTGGGAGGCTGTGGATATTCGACGGCGGGAGTCTTGCCAAGTGCATTGCATGCGCATACAAATCAACTACTGGAATACTTCCTATAAAAAGGTATGCCATTGCCCCTCTGCTTTTATAAAGCGTGACATCGGGCGAGCTCTGCCGAGCGCGATCGCCGTGCCCTGTTGATTGCATTGCTCCTTTAAGGCAGATTCAACAGAGCAGCTCGAACAAGTTTTTCATCCTGCTGCATTTTCGGTTTTTCCTTCATAGTTCACCAGCGGACTTTTGCCCAAGAAACAAGCGACCAATGAACTGTCAAATGCCACTGAAAATATTGGGTTAGTCCCTCTTTAACATGGAGCGTTACGAAAAACTATTCTTGGATATTCGGTGGATAATGGACAGCACGCTTTCTTCCAGCTGCATTGTAATACACATCATTCGACGGCATCTTCTGTGAGAAGTGGGCAACACATATGGCGGTAAGCCACGACGAATCCGACACGTTTTTT